TGTACTAAATAATAAAAAAAACTGATTTGTATTTAATTTAGAGAAAAGGGAAGAAAAACGAAAACTCAGTCTTCATATAAGCTCCAATGTATCAAGTTTTGGAGGCCTTTTCTAGTTTTATGAGAATGTGTACCACTGATTTTTATATACTCTTGCTTTTGAGATAAGCAGGTCTCTGGGGAAAATTGTTGCATTCCAATGGCATTTCACTGTGATCCCTTCTCAAGCTCAAATCAATTCTCTAACCTAATGACAAATTGTCTCTTTGGTTTACTGTCCGGTGAAATGTCAGCTCCACTTTCCCAGAAGCCACTTGTTTACGATGAGTCAGTGCTTTCCCTCAGTGTGAAAGTCATTGGCTCTCTTGATTCGGGTGTATGTGCTTAATTCAAAGTATCTAAATCTAATCTGTAAGAGTTCTTCTACGTGTTAATTGTATTATTGATTATTTTTATTATCTTGCTTGAAGCTTACTCATACTTTTTGATTTAATAGAAATAAATTTTTTTACAAAATAGACTTCAAAGCAAAGTCCTTAACAAGAGACGAAGAAGGCCACTACATAATACTAAAGGGGTCGGTCAAACAGAAGGATATAACCCTCATAAACATATATGCACCCAAAGGAGCACCTAAATATATAGAAAAACTCTTGGAGGATTTTAAGGGAGAGATCGACAGCAATACAGTCAGAGTAGGGGACTTAAACACTCCACTGACTTCACTGGATAGATCTTTGAGACACTACACTCCCCATCTCCAACCATACACCAACTCCACTCACATTCTATTGGCCAAAACCAGTCCCATGACCACAGACATCTAGGTGGGCAAGTTCCAAACAAAGGAAGTGATGTGTGTCTCCTCCAAGCTGTGTGTGCTTCTCCATAGCATCGTCATCTTCAGCAGCAAGCCTGGGATCATCTGCTGAGGATGGAAGGTGCCAGAATCCCTAAGTCAATACTCAGAGGAAAGCTGCCTAATCGAGAAAGAATATCTATAATGAATGTTGCATGAGAGAGAATAAAATTTTGTGTTATAACATTGTGTTTTAGGAGATTTTGCTAGAGCAGTTCATCTACCCCTGACCAAATGGTAGACACCAAACAAGTATAAATGTAAATTTTCTCAGGATCCAGGATCGCCTGGGAAAATGGAAGAGCAGCACAAGGAAGAAAAAGGCATAGACAGGGAGCAGAAAAACTCAGGAGGCGAGGAATGACTTCATTTCCTGGGTCAACCCCTAGGACATATCTGCTCTTAGAAAAATCAGTAAATTTTTGGTCTGAAGCAATGTGGACTAAAATGGACAGCTTGGTTATCCGTACAATTATCGTTTCGCTAAAAATATAGTCGGAAAAATTACAAATAATCTTTGCCATGTTGAAAATAAGCAAACGAGCAGTGCTAGGGTGGCGGTGTAGCATTTTTTATACAGTATAATATTTTATCTGGGAGATAACCTGGTGAAAAGGATTCGGCTGAAGAACAAACCCAGAGAAACATTCAAGGGGAAAGAATAAGGTAGGAAAACAATGAAAAAACTGAAGATTCAAAGTGTGAGAAAGCGTCAGAGAAGTTATAAAGTGGTTTCAAGAAAGGGGGAGAAGGTTATGGATTTCAGGATAATTTTTTTAGAGCTAGAAGTTAGAGATGGTCGAAGGACAGCTTTGAAGACGACGTAAGAAGTATATTTATTCATTCGTTTATTAAACAAATATTTACTGAGCAACTACTATGTGCTGAGTCTGTGATAGGCACCAGGGATAGGAGAATTGTGAACAAGCACTTTGGAGTTCACCGTCTTCTCAAACAGAGAATAAAAACCTGTGATACATAGTATCCTATTCCACTAGTCCTCAGAATGGCAACTGTTGATTCAGAAATATAGTCAAGGCCAGTTGAGAAAAAGAGCAGTGTTTCTCTCCCGCTGCAACTGTCTCCCTAAATTCTATTGTAGCACCTTAAAAGGACAAATTGGCTGAAGAAAGAGAAAATTCTAAGACTTCAACAGACCATGACAAAAATAGAGCTAAATAATTATTTCTAAGAAAATGAAATTACTTTTTATCACCACTCACTGAATAGCTTTCCTGATTGTTCCCTGTAAGTCTGTAATAGCACTGGTCACGGAACGCACAATTCCTGATAACAGACAATACGACCGAAAAAATTAGTTTCCTGTGTACAAAATAACATTCACCACAATGGACAATTCGTGCCTGCTCTCTCTGAACCTTTGCCGAACAGAATACCAGCACAGGCTAATTGCATGAGCCAGCTGAAAACTGTTATATGTACTGGAAAGCCATCCCCCTAAAGAATAGCAGAGAATAGGTCTTCGTACCAAATACAAAACAACAGAAAAAAAGCGAGAGCGCGAACATGAGAGCAGATGCACAGGCATTCTCATTAACACACTGCAGTTAACCATTTTTGTGGATGCACATAAAAGAGTTGTAAAATTCTCTGCCTTAAAAAAGAACATCTTCCAGGATGCAAGAATTTTCCCCCCTGCTGACTCAAGTGTTTTGCTCCAGTGCACAGTATGGATCAGCCTTACATTGGGGACTTTTGTTACTCTGAGGTGCACGACAGTTCATGTCAGAAAGAGAGTTGAGTCAAAGGCCACTTTCGCACACTGATTCACATGTTGGGCAAGGAATACAACTGGCTTGTCACAAGGGGAGGCAGAGCAAGGACCGACTTTTCCAATTCTTCACGGGGCATGCTGCCATTTATCTGCAAAAGGTTTAGAATTCAAGTCCCTCGGGAAAAGTTTCAGAAAGAGCTCAACAAACAGCAAACAAATGGCTCTAACAGGATCGAAACAGATGTGTAGCACCATCTATAATGCATGAGCTACTTTAGGTCCACTCCCAAATCCAGTGGATTTATTGTTTGATAGCAAGTGTTCATTCTAGCCCAGCTGTGGTAAGCAAGGGTCCTGGCAGGAATGATAGCCCAAATTGTGTCATTTAAGAAAAGCTTAAAGAAGGGATATTTCCTAAAGGCCTGGGCCAAATGTAGGGAAATCCAAGTACAGTATCAGGGGACTATTTACAGCCTATACCTAAGCTAAAGATTCCAAGGGAGGGGAGGGGAGGGCAGGGGAGGGGAGGCTCCTAACAAACGTCAGGGCCTTCCTTCATTTAGGATGCAACACCATCCTTCAGTAACCGGCCTGGAGCAACAGCCCAAGAAGAAAGAGTCTTTCCTTCTTCTCTTTTTCTGATCCATTTCTAGTGCTCCTCTCTGGGTCAAATCCAAGGAAAACCAGATGACAAAGGAGCCTCTAGATGAAAGTCCTTGTAGGCTGGCCTCGAAGAGCAAAGCATGACCCAGACTAAACTACAGTGAAGAGAGAAAGTGAACCAGATGTGGCCAATGGAAGGTCCTCAGCAGTCGGCTTCTCCAGGAAGCTTAGGGCCCAGGAGTTGGAATTGAAGGAAAAGAAAACAAACATTTTAACAGGGCTATCCTTTTGTAATAACTTGAGTTAACATACACCAGATGCACTCAAATCAGAGATCTCCCCCAGTATCAGGCTTTCCTAATAATTTCAATGATCCAGGTAGCCAAGAGTCCCAGACAAAGCAGAGAGGAGCCTGGGAAAGCAAGGGTGGCTCCCTGGTCCTATTTTCCTACACTGGACATGTCCCTTGGCTCAGAATAGTAGGTGAGGTCTCCGAGTGAGGTCAGAGGGGTTCCTTGCCCAGCAGGAACATTTAAACTATGGTACATTTCCCTTTATACCCACAGACTTGGATGGCTTAGGAGCCACTCTCCAGGGAGACCTGCCTCATAAATTCCGGGTTCCATTTACTGTAAGTAATACTTTAGCCAGGGAACAGCCTGTTAGGGGCTTTCAACCGATAAGGTCTCTTTCTCCTAGCAAATATCATTAGCCTATAACACAGAGATGCAGTTAAAAAGAGATTAGACCAGGTTGCCTTCCTTGGTTTCTCTCCCTCACACACGCACATACATACACACAACCTCCCACACCCCTAGGGAAGGGAGTGAAAAGATTTTAGGCAGCCTTTTTAACTCCTTCCTCTCACAAACACTATATTTAACATTAAAAGTGGAAGAAATGTGTGTGTGTGTATGAGAGAGAGAGAGACAGAGACAGAGACAGAGAGACACTGAGAGAAAGACAAGAAAGAGGGAGGAGAGAAAAAGAGAGGAGAGGGGGGAAAGGGAAAGAGGGAGAGAGATTTTTAGGAAGAAAAAGAGAAAATATATAAAAATATGGAGAAGAGAAGGTCACTGAGTGTCCCTTGCATGAGACTGGCATGAGGAAATCTGCTATGCCTCCTACTGTGCATAATCTTCCCACTTTGTCAGGGAAGCCCACAGAAAAATGCAACAGCGATCAGTTTATTTGAGGGAGATTACAGGTCTAACCACATGCCCCACCCCAAAGGCACCTTCTTGGCCAGAGTGTCAGCCTCTGTTCCTTCCAGATATGAGCAAGGAAGGGCCTCTGCCCTCTGACTCCTAGGCAACCAGTGGCTCTTCCACGTCTGAAGCTTTGTAGCTTTTAGATCTGCTTTTCCCCAATTTGGAGAAGATAGTGTCAGGAACTCTCTAAAAACACAGGATTGTAAGCAGGTGTGGGGAAGTCGAGAGTGAGCCACAGCTGGACTTGGGGTAAATCTGCTGACCTTCTGGGATTGTAGCAATTTAATACAAGTGTGAATTTTTCTAAAATCAGGTCCAGAATGTTTAGAGGTTTCTCAAAAACTTTGAAGGCCTATAGAAGTTTAGCCAGCAGAACTACACAGAGTTCTTAGTGGACGTGTGGACCCAGGGACAGATGAAGAGTCCTGGCCGCCAGGGTCTGATCCTGGGCTGCACCGTTCTGCATCTTGTCATCTTCCGCCCCCAGGGAGCATCCAAGCTCAAGGTCAAGCCTGAGCAGGAACACAGCCTTATTTTCCAGATGATTTCAAAGATGCTATAAAATATTTTGAATATAAAAGAGTAGAACTTACCTTTTAACCACGTTAAATATCCTCTCGAAGTCATTTTGCAGATTTGTGCATCTCTCTGTCAGCTCGAGAGGCGTCTTGTTCAGATAGGTGCTGTTTCACAAAAGAGATTTTAAAGAAAGATTGATTTAAAATGAGCTTACAAGATGTTGTTAACAGAAATCAGATTTAATTGCTAAAGTATGCTCAAATGAAGTCTGGTTTTTATTCCATTATTATTCTCCATGGAAAAGGAAATTAATATTTTCACTTCTGGCGGGTCTAAATTAAAAAAAAAAAAAAAAAAAAAAAAAAAAAGGGGGGCACACTATAATGTCAAAAAGAAAAGAGCTCCTTGTGGGAGACTTTATAATTTTACGTTTTCATATTTTGAGGTTATTATGTACAATGAATGAGTTGTTGAATAATTTTAATCATCGTGTGTGTGAGCAGACTTTATTTTTAAAAGATGTTGTCTCTGGTAGGAGGCATGCAGACAAAGGAGATCAATAGTTCTCTCTAAAAACAAGGCAAGGTAAATTTGGCCTTTTATGATTATAGTAACTGTGATACAGGGCCTGTTACTATTGCTTTATGAACTTGAAAAACTGGAGTTGGAACAAAACCAAATAAAAAGGCAAGGCCCTGGCCTGTGTGGCTCAGGGGTTAGAGCGTCAGCTCACACACCGAAGAGTCATGGGCTTGATCTCCGGTCAAGGGCATGTAGCTGGGTTGCAGGTTCTATCCCCGCCCTGGTCAGGGCGTGTGCGGCCCTCCCTCCCTTCCACTCTACCTAGAAGCAATGGAAAAATGTCCTCCGGTAAGGATTAACAACAGCAACAAAAAAGCAAGGGGTTATGGAGTCAGGCTGCCTAAGGAGCCTCATGGACATATGCATGCTACTTAACCACTCCGGGCATCAGTTTCCACATCTCTAATCCTTCCCTCATAATGTTACTGTCATGATATGTAGTGACACAGAAATGGTTGTAAAGCACTTGGTACCATGCCTGATACAGTCAATGCTCAAAAAGTGCCACATACACTTCCCTTAGCCTTCAAATTGTGCATACAACTCCGACTACCGTTGATGCATTTATTTAACAATCCTGAAGATATTTGCTGAAGACAACTTAATATGGGCTGGGAGCCAGGCACAGGATGCTTAGGACATGGGGGTAGATAAAGCAGACATGGTCCCTTTCCCTACTGGAGATTGCAGTCTGGTTAGGAAGAAAGATATTTCAACAAAAATCCACACAAACGAATATAGTATAGAGCTATGAACTGTGATTAGGGCCATTAAAACAGCAGCAGGTGCCTTGAAGGAATATAATGGGGAGACCCCTGCACACGGAGGGGCCTCTGAGATAGTGTCATTTAGGTGGTGATCTCAAGGATAATCCAAATGAGCTAGATGAAACTTTGGGAAGTGGGGGGAGAGACATTCCAGGAAGAGGGAAAAACATGTGTAAAGGCCCCAGAATGGGGAGTAACCCAGAATGCTTGAGGAACTGAAAGAAGGCAAGTGGGGTTCACGGCTACAGACTAATGGCGTTTGGAGTAGTCAGTAGGGGCCAGAGCAGACAGGCCTGGTAAGCCAGGTTGGGAATTTATCTGAGTAAGGAGAAGCAACAGAAGGCTTGGGGCAGGGGCGTGATGTGACCCAGTGTACGTTTTAAGGGGTTTACTACACAGAGGAATAAAATAAGGGGAAGTAGGACAACAGAAAAGGTGGTAAAGTTAGGAGGCTTCTGCTGGGTTCTAACAGAGATGATGGCGACTTAGACTATGATGTCATAAAAAACAACATCCAGTTCACAGTTGTTTTACATAACGAAGTTCTGTTACTTGCTCATGAAATGCCCACTGCATGGCTGAGTGGCTCCTTAGGGCAGCCGGGCCTCATGCAACGTGAGGGTCCGGACAGCTTCAGTCTTGGGCACCTTCATTTCAACAGCCTGCTCCCATCCCTGCTGCGGCAGAATGCCCCACAGGCAGCCTTACCCTGGGTCTGGGTGCTCTAGCCCAGCCCGAACTAGTCACATGCCCAACCTGCCTGCGGGGAATCAGGAAAGAGTGCCCATCCTGAGAGCCCCAGGAAGAGAGGGGACTGGGACACCGCCGTGGACGGTGGCACCACATTGTCCATCCATCAGCCTGAAGAGAAGCTGATTTAAGATCCATTCTGGAGATAAGACTGACAGGACTTCAAAATAAATTGGATACGGGAGGTGAAGGATCAGGAGGTGTACAGGTAGAGACATAAACAAGAAAGTTCTCTAATATTTCTCAGAAATGCCTCCTAGAAACACAGAGTCCATATGGGCTCACAAAATCCCTCTTTATCCTGATATGCTTCCTGCCCTCCCCCACTGCCTTCCCCCTTCTCCCTCCTTCTGTCTATATGTCTCACCTTCTGTGCTTCCTGAATGTATCATCATACTTTCCAAGGATTTGTTTAGTTCTAATTGGCTGTGTATTTTATTCAGGCAGCACCGTTAATGAAGTGAATTACCAAGCCAGCAGTGCTTTGAATTATGATGGCTTTGCAATACTGAATTGTAAAACTGTAACGAGCAGGCACCCATAGGGTTTAATGTCATATAACTTTCCTTAAATTGGAGAGCATCTTTGTTAATAAAAAGTCAAAACAGTTCTGCTCAGCTAAATCACAGAAGACCCATGGAAGGCAAATGAAGTGTCTGGGGCAAGGTGGACAGGAGAGAATGAAGTCATAGGAAAAAACAGGGTCTTAGGTGTCAGTAGACCAGACTTTGAGCCTGGGCTCCACTCTCTGACTGTGGTCTTTGAACCTAAGGGTTTCCTTTTTAAAATCTTTACTCATGCTATAGATTGAATGTTTGTGTGCCCCTAAATTCATTTATTGAAATTCCCCAAGATGATGTATTAGGAGGTGGAGCCTTTGGGAGATGATTACCATCATAAAGGGGGAGCCCTCGTGAATGGGGCAGAGGCAACTTGATTGAGATGAAAGTAGGAATTTCACAGACCTGCAGTCAGAGGCAATCTGGTGAAAAAGGAGATTGTACAAGATGAGTACTGGCTGATTTATAACCCAGGAAGGCTTACTGGGGGTCAGGTTAGAAAGTCCCATCCACAAGGACTGGATATCTGGGAGAACTTGTCATGGTAGAGGAAGCTATGGAGGTAAGGCACACCAGAGCCTGCTGCCGGGAGCTCACATTCAGTTAGAAGAAGTCCAGGATATAAATGGAGAGGGACTCCCTAAAACTAACTGAAGTCGGCAGTCTGAGTATTTGGGTCTGGGGAGAGAAAAAGCACAGGAGTCATGAGGGCTGCCAGATAAGTTGTAAGAAGCAAAATCCCCAGGGCCAGACTCCTGTGGGTTCAAAATAACAATTATGTTTCTGTCAGCTCTGATACTTTTACATTTCAATTTTCTGATGAAAACCCCTTATAACAACGTCTTATCAGAATTAGCTAAAGAAGAGAAAAAGGATCAGTCCATGTGTAATCTGCAGAACTATACAGTTGTGAGTGCTCCCAAGACAAGTCACGGGAGGAACAGTGGCCACCCTCTTGGAGATGTACTGGGACTTGGTGGACTAAGTTAGAGCCTAAAATCTCCCAGCCCAGACTGCTGAGAAGGCTCCAACTGCCCCTTCAATGCCTCTTCAACTGCTCCATTGTAAGATCACAATCTCTGCCCACTTGTCACTATGTAATATTGCTTGTCTGCTCATTTGTACCATTTGTAGCATCTTACTAGCACACTCAATTTCCAGTTCCCTTGACGTTTTATCACACTCACCCGGCAAATCTGTGATAAGAGCAATAGAACTCCTGGAATAATACGTTCCTATACCTAAGCCCCCAGGACTGCTGGGGGAAGATAAATCACACAGTAGGTGGGTTGGTGCTTTGATAAACTCCTGGTGTCCAATTTGCTTGGCCTTTTGTTCACCTTGACAATTCTATTACGTATTGCCAGCTACCTCCCCCTTCCATTTCCTTCAATAGCTACTTTCCACATTCACTATTCTGCAGTCTTCACTATTCTGTGTCTTCTTAACTTACTTAATCATGCTTCCTATTTCTGAAAAAAAAAAAAAATAGCGCTGCCTGGTGTGAATTGATGCTTAGCCATAAGCCATCCTCGTCTTCCATCTCAGAGAAAAAAGTGTCTCTCCTTTTACAAAAGGACAAGCCACCTGCCAGCCTATCCCTCCCTGTCTCCTCTAAGATCCAGGCCCATCCTTTCATTTTTTCTCTTCACTGAATCTTCAGCCTTTCCTTTCCACCATCTCCTCCTTCTCATGCTCATTCTCTACCATCTCAAAGTTATAAACAAGCCAAACTCATTCTGCTATTCTCTTCTAACTGATGCCTTGCCCCTCCTTCAAACTGCAACCTACTACTGTCCCTTTGCTTTACCTACAAATCCACTAAGCCATTCTTTGGAAAGCATCTCCAAATTTAGGGCACATTTCCGTCTTCTTCCTTCACTCCCCAGAAGTATTTGAATCACTGACCACTCACTCTGCAGCTGTTCCCATCACAGTCCTCTCTTTGTTTTTCTACCTCTGACTGATGATTAGGGTCCTTTTGCAGGTTCTTCCTTGGACCAGTCCATAGTGTTGGTGTCTCCCATGGTTCTTCTTTTTCTGTATGTTACTTTAAAGCAACTGGTTGGTATTCTGTTACAGCATTTCCCAGGACTCACTGCCTGCTTGCTTCTCTAAACATCCCAACCAACCTCTTTTCCCTTCTGCTCCATCCTCACTGCCCCTGAGATGAGTGGCCTCATGTACATTTGATCATGTCATGTCCCTGTTCCAAGACCTCCCAAGAGCCCCATCAGCCTCAGAACATGCTCCACACTCCTTAGCTGGACATACAGAGCCCCTGACCATGATTTATCTTTTATTGACCGTTTGCTAAACATTAAATGATACAAATTCCTTTTTCTCCATTCCTTGCAAGCCATGTTATGGATTCTGACTGCTTTCATTATTTAATTAGAGAATTTATTCATTTAGTACTGGCAACCAAGACTTCAGGTACTTCAACCAAGTCTTTCATCACTTCAGTATGTTGGAGGGGGAAAAATCTTTAGTAAGACTGGGGGA